CACCCGGTGTTTATCACCGGGTGTAGGGTCGAACAAATCCTGCTACGGTTTACCTTTAGGGGTTTAGAAAAATAAAAAAAAGAACACGTGGCAGCAGAAGACCCACCCGGTGTTTATCACCGAGTCTAGGATCGAAGGAACCGACAATCTGCCTACAACATTTCCCTCTGAGATTATATGGAGCTTGCGGCGTCCAATAAAAAAAAAACTTACTAAAATGTAAGATAAGCCATGATTATATCATTTTCGCGGGTCGACCCGGCAATTTATTGACAATATCAAACATCAAATTGAGTCCAACTATTTAATTAATCGTGGCTTATCTTGGCAACCAAATGGGGCCGTACAATACTAAGAACAATACCACGCTTTCGTTGCATTTTTTGTGTAAGCATGGTTCGTTCGGACGTTGTTCAAAACCAAAAAACTGGATCTTGATCAAAACGGATATTCTATGAAGTAACCCCTTTTTCAAGGTGCCTACATTTTAAACAAATACTCAAAATTGAATTAAGTGTACTTGGCCTAAACAAAAACACAATTTGGTTAAAAGAAAACAAACCGTACAAATGGTTGGTCTAGTGTGTTAAATGGGGTATACAAAATCCTTTCAATCTTGGCCAAACTTTCAACACAATCTTGTGTAATGGACCACCTTAAAGACCAAAGCAATTAAAGAAAGATCTTCCAACACTTCGAACAAGATTTCTATGGTCCCTACCCGCAAGGGTGGCCTAGCGGTTGGAGCAAGAGAGCTTGGGTCAATTGACCCAAGTTCGAATCCCCTTGCCAACGGTCGCTAGGTCGAGCTTGTCACACATGGTTAGCCTAGTGTGGTTTACATCTCTCGTATGGTTTGCAAGCTATTATACGAGAGTGTAGGTTTACCCAGTGCACCTATATGGTTGGCTGCGGGTTCCTGCATTACCAAAAAAAAAAAAAAAAAAAAAAAAAAGATTTCTATGGTCCCTATTCCTAAAGTGACCACAAAATGTTCATAAATATCTTGCAATACACATGTTTCTGCCTTGTACCATATTTAAGTCATTTTTTTTTTATATCAACAAACATTCAAAATAATAACATTTAACTTACTAATTAATATATAACCACACCAAAACGACGCCGTACGTAATAAAAGCATTATCCCCACCTACGTACAAACCATGCTATGCTTCCTTCCTACCATCCTAACAAAATGGTTATAGGGGGAAAAGAAAATCTGCCAAATAACAAACAATTAAATAAAAAAAGATACAATCAAGAGTCACTTACTACTAAAATGAAGCAATTAAGTTCTAATTAGGAAAATTAATTAATAAGTGGAAAAAAATTGAAGATGGGATGCTAATATTAATTAATTAGAGGGATGGATTGGTAAGAACCGGGCCTGAGAAAAGCCCATTGAAAAGGCCCGGCCCATCAAGAATCCTGCTGCTCTCACCACCGTCTCCTCGGGGGCTGCTGCCCCCACTGCTGTTCGACAGCGAAACAAACGACCCCCTCTGAAGAACCCCCGTCGGCGAAGATGCCAAACGAGGGCTATTATCCCAGCTATCGATCAGATTCAACGGCTTAGTGGCGCCGGCGCCGGCAGTGGTGGTGTTCTTGCATTCGCTTGTGCTTGCACTGTTGTGTAGAACTTCTCCGAGAGGTCCTCCCATGGAAGGCCCCCAAGAAATCGGGACCCAATTTGGGGGGCCCACCCCCAAGCCCATTTCGAGGTCGACGGATAATCTCTGCGGCGGCGGTGAGGTTTTGAGTCCGTCGGTGGGGATGGAAATGGAGAGCTGGGTTTTGGGCCAGCTGTCGTCCATGAACTGCCGGATGAGTGGGTGGTGGGATGATTCGGTGGTCTGATCGTGGCCGTTGAAATTGTCT